CCATACCCAGGACGCGAATATATGATGGGAAAAACCGGGAGTTAACTATTTGCCCATAGCTGGGACTAACAGGTGCTACCACCCCGAGTCAGGTGGACCTGGAACACAAGCAATTAAGGGGTGGTTCCATGCTTCCTCAAAACCTGATCAGAGGCCTTGCTGTTGGATGTAGTTTGTCTTACCCAGGACAAATGAAAATAAGGGAGATATTATCTGTAACTATAGGGTAATTAGAATGAATATAATGAAAGAGATATAATACCCAATTTTCCAGTCATTTACAGCAACTCTGTTCTTTGAGCTGAACTGCCATACTACTTACATGATTTGATTATAATGGTGAAAGCTTATGCAGAACGAAACACTTTGTGGAAGAGCTAAATACAGTGAATTGGTGCACATATTGTGTACCAGAATGCCCCCAAATGACTCCTCAGGTTTTGAATTCAGAGTTGTCCTAGATCAGTTGCCACCCAAGGCTATAGGACCCACTGTTCTGCTATTTAACTGTAGCTTTGGAAGAAAAGGATCTATACTTTTCATAAGAGCCTTTGTATATAACAAACTTGACTGAAATTTGCTGAACTCTGCTCTCCAATTCTTAAATCCATTACAATGCAGTGCTTAACATATGCACACACACACACACATATATATATATATATATATATATATATATATATATATATATATATATATATATATACACACACACACACACACACACGTGTGTTTGTTGCCCCATTTAAACAAATTAAATCTAAAAACTCCACTTACCTTAGATACATAGATGACACTAATCTACAAAGATATTGTACCACAAATGTGGAATGGCCTGCCTCAAATTCGCTCTGCACCATTTAACCAAACTATAGTATGTTACAAACAAAAATTTATGTTTGTCAAATCAAGTAAAAATGCAGTTTAAATGAATGAACATGACAAGCTTCCATCAGCTGATTTATTGGATAGCTGTATGATAAAAGTTCAAAATCTAAATCTCCATGTACACACATGCAGCCTCCTCACAAAAAACCTGTTTTTGTAGGAAAAGTCAGTTGCTTTGATCGCAGATTAGTGGACCCTTATCAGGTTTTCAATTTGTGGAGCAGAGAAATGGATTAGCATACTTTTCTATGCAATCCATTCCACTCAGTAAAACTTTAACCACAATTTGGTCAGCAGAAGCTAATTTACCTCATTCAGTGGTGAAGCAGTTTTTTTTTTTTCCTCCTTCTGCAAAAGCAGCATGCAACAAGTTTTTGGCCTTTGAGCTAGGTCACCATTTTCTTCTGTGCAGTAGGTTCAAAATAAAATATTCTATTGTGACATTCTGATATATTGTGTCAAACTTGGGCCCAGTACTTTGAACCTTAAACCAAAGAATTTATGTTAGAAATACCCACAAGGTTACCATACTGACAGACACCTGAAGAAGGTCAGGTCACAACAGCTAAAACATTGTTAAAGTAAATATTAAGAAAATAGTATAAATGTAAAGAATGTGTAGGTGTGATCACACAATACTTTGAGGTTTATCTTCTCTTTATGTTAAACACTAGTGTTATTACCAAGTTAAGTGAAATGCATGTCTCATGAAAATTATTTTCAATGGATTTTCACCATTGTTATAAACAGGGTTTTATATATTTGAGTTTCAGTAATGCAACAAAAGTTATTTTTGTTTAGCCATATCTCTTGTTGAATGAGAACCATGATTAATCTTCCACAAAGCAAGGTGGATCCTTGTATATCTCAGTTTACCTCCCCACATATGCTAGTCATGAGCATCAGCTACACCTAGACCCAATTTTCCCTGTCATTAAAAAAAAAACAAAAAAAAAACATCCTCCAAAGTTATTTTGGACAATCCTCTTCTGCCCTCAACTGTCACTTCATAGGGCAGTTTCATAGGTCCCTCACTATACTATACTGACCAGACCAATGTAGTCTATGGCTGCAAAATGGTGACTCAAGGTCATCAAAGCCTAGTTTCTTCAGAACATGGCCTGACCTAGTCCTCAGTAGACATACCATGTATCCAGCATATCATGGTCCAGTCATTGTAAGGCTGACAGTTGCTGTCCACTATCTGCAGAACTCATGTCTCACCGGCATTCAATATGGCAATCCTATCTACAATTTTAGTGTGCCAGGGACAAGAATCATTTTATGCTTTTACAGACTATCAATATCAAGTTTGGTTTATGGCATATCAACCTTTTTCAGGTTATTCAATGTTGAATTATCTATTTACTATCAAGGTCAAACTTCATTTTGAGCAATATAATAAAGGAGGCTTGCACAACATTACTGTATCTACTGATCTTGAGTCAGTGTTACATACAGATTATAATTAAATAATGCTAGCAATTGATAGACATAAAATTATATAATTTATGTACATCAAAGTATATAGAATTTCTGCCAATAAAGTGTTTGATATTTGATGAGAGAAATTATTAAATCAGAAATAAAGTTTGATTTCTATCAATGTCAATGAGTTTCAGGTCTCAAAATTATCAATAAAAATGATTATATTAACAGGAAGTAGTTTTTGATACAATAAACTTTCTGTAATCATTCTTATCTAAAGTCCTGATGAACGAAAAGTTATCAAACGCGGAATTGACATCAGTGAGTATATCCGAGTCAATATTATACAAGACTTGTTCAGCATCACTCTCACTTGTCTAACGTTTCAAATTACGATTATAATAACAGGAAGTATTACATTCTTGGCTTGTGCAGCATCAAGCTCATTTCCTGGGAAATCAAGATCAGCATCTGAAACCAGAATTTAACTTGGCAAAATAAAGACTATAGCTTAGTGTTTTAGATGTTAGCCTGCTCCATACTTTCATATGATCCAAGAGATATTTTTGAGCCATTAATATGCATTGGTGGTGGGAGAAGTAGATCTTATGCCAAAAGATACAATGTCTTCTATATCTTTAGGAAAAAAAGATTTTAAAATATAAATTACACCTGTGTTGAAAGTAAAATCTGAATAACATTGTCTGAAACAAACCAATTTTGTAATAGTAATAAATACACAATATAGATTCTGCAGCTTACCCTGTTTGGATCAATAGAAAAAAAAAAAAAAAAAAAAAGAGAATCAAATTATCTTTTTGCAAAAAGATACATGTACAATTCTGCTTAAGTCATTAATTGCTACATTACCTGGCTTAATACAAAGTGAAAGCCCCCCTTTCCCTTCATATTTTAAATGAAGATATATGGAAGTCTAGCTTTTACAAATCTTTCTTGCCAATATGTTACATCTAAGTTTAACAGCATCAATATAAAATCATTCTTTATTAAGGCTAGGATCTTAATTTTGTGATACATTAAAACTAGATGGACTTTTGGTCTGAGCTGAGAACTGAACTGCTGGTTAATGTAACAAAGAATAAGCTCAACAAGTCCTGATTTTTGGTCAAACAATTGCATTTCATTTAACCCAGAACACAATTAGACTCATTTTACTTCATTAGTTGTATTCATAGTCATAACCATATAATAATCATATGTAAACATAGATCAAAAGACTATATTCTGAACTTTACCATCAATATTTCCTATTGACCATATATAGGTAGAGTCAAATCAAATTTTAGAAAAATGTCCAACCTTTGTCAATACACTTGTACACATTTGATTTAAATGAAAAAATTTAAAGAAAGTTACCAATACTTACTAATGCGCCTGTAATTTCTGAATTGACTTTTTTTCAACAAAAAGATTGAGAAAATGAATGGCAAGGAAAAAGTTTTTTCTCTCCAGAATTTATCTTACATATTTATAAGTCTACCATTCATCCATGCTTTGAATATTGCTGCCACAAATGGTCTAGTGCTCTTGCTATATGTTTAAAGATTCTTGATAAAATCTAAAGATTCTGCAATGTTATTGGTCCTAGCCAGGCATCTTTGCTTCAGTCACTTTCCTAACTCTCTAATGTAGGTTCCCTATGCCTTTTCCAGAAATACTTTCATGGTAATTGTTCCAAGGAATTTTCTGCTATAGTACCTAGACTTATGAATTTAAGTTCAGTACTAGATTGGCAGCTAGGTCTCATCAATTTACAGTTGATATAATGGTAACAGTTTCTCAACTGTCAAACTCTCTCCCAGCTCCTTGCTTTCCAGCCAACTTTGATCTTCAAAAATTTCAATGCAATGTCAATCATTGTTTACTGTCTTCATTCCTCTTATTATTGCTCTTTAATGTTTTTTCTTATTCTTTCACACTCAGTAACCCCTTGTGTCTTAATGGCTTTATTGCCTTGCTTGGGATGAAATTATATAACAAAACAAAAAAAAAAAAAAAAAAAAAAAACTGTCTAAGGCTAACTGGAATATCTGAGATGACCTTTATATTTGAACTATTTTCCATATCTTATCACAACATTTCAGCCAATGTACTATCCAGCCATTTTCAGGTCTCTAGTAATCTTGGGACATTTAGGGAATTTAAAACTAAACTTTATTTAATCTACTAAGATTAGTCTCATTTTACTGTCCATATTTCAGTATATCTTGTCTTTTTCTTATTTAGTACTGTTCAATTATTGTTTGTGCGACCCAGTGTAGGAATTGAATTCAGTTACTGTCAGCAAATTCATGAATCAATATTTTAATCCACTATTGTCCCATGAGACAATCTTGAACTTGGAGCCTTAAACCTAAAATTTGAAATTCTCTGAATGTTACACTGAAAAACACCTGAAAAATGCCAGAGGGTAGAACTGCTGAAACTGTGATAAGAAAAATGAGGAAAAGAACCTGAATGTAAATAATCTTTAAGGGTAATCTAGCAGAAAATTTTAAAGAAGGCCATTAATGAAATAAACAATTTGAATAGAAGTTTATAGACTGTTAATATTATCTTAAATATAAACCAAGATTTAAGAAAAAAAAAAAAAAAAAAAAAATGAAACAAAGTATGCTATGTTAGTAACATGTTATTATAATAATATAAGTAATAGTACTTACTTTAGATTTCAAAAAAGTCAAGCATCTTAAGACATTCTCCACTTTCTGCACTCTAATAAGTCCCTTGTTTGGTTTACCAACTTTTTCTCCAGAAATAATTTCCAGAAGCTTCATAAGAATTTTTCCATCTCCTAAGTCGGTAAATAAGTTCTTGATTTGAAGCCGTGTCTGTAAAAATAAAGACCAAAATTACTCAATATTCACTTGAATAAGGTGTGAATGATATTAATCATTATCACCTCTTCAAGATCTGCTTCAGACGGCAGATGGAAAAGAATGGATTTTGCAAAAGGAAGCTGAAACTTTACCAACAAAAATAAAAGGAAGCCCTGTTTAAAATAAAACAAGTGTTACATCTTCTGAAGGAGATGCCAACTTATTTCTGGATATAAAAGCTTTAAATTTTTTTTTTTTTTAATTGCAATTATTAGACAGGTAAGAAATATTACAGTTGATACAAGAGTCGGGAAAGAAAGTTCAATATTTTATCCTCTTCATCTGGGTAAAAACGTTTTGAATTTCATTTGATTTAGATGAAAAAAAAAACAATTTTTAAATGCATATTCCTGACACTGGTTTAACCTTTATCAATGTATGTGATTTCATATACTGTACAAAAAGCTTATCCTGTGACTAATCTCTGAATAACAGGGTGTTTGAATTTCATAGATGTGCTGTCATATCCTGCTATGGCAACAGAAAACAACTTTTAGTGAACTTAAAAAGGATACTACAATTGAGAGGCCTTGAAAAGAATGCAGTAGAATGGGAAGTAATATTACACTATTTACATTATTCAGACTATTGTCCTCATCTTTGTTGTCATATCACGTTTCGGCTGTTGTACACTCCAGCCTTCTTCAGGTGGTTAGAATGCCAAACTGAAAAAAATTGCAATATGAGAACTGGTAAAAAAAAAAAAAAGTGATTGCTGAAGACATCAGGTTTATAATACCCAGAAATTCATATGCAGATGTCCTCAAGGTCACATGGCACAGTGGATAAAGGCATTAGTTAGATCCAGTGACAGGACGCAAAAATGCCTGGTTAAGGTAGTGGAGAACTTGGAGAGGGGAATTAACAGGAGATAACTGATATCCATTAGACATGGAACTAGAACAGTCTATCCCAATGAGTGAAATAAAGGGTTCAGTATGACATTCCAATTGCCTGAAGAAGGCCAGAGCATACAACAGCTGAAACGTTGATGAATATGGTAACAAGATGAGGACAATAGTCCAAATAATGTAAATAGTTTACATGATATCTCATCTCAGAAATATAGATGGATACTGAAGTAATATTAATAATGCAGTGTGCTAAACTAGTCTGGTTAATTGAAGGTGAATATAAGGTGTTCCTGGGAAAAGATATTACCATGACATGTTTCACATTATTGGAAGTGGAATTATATAACTTGCAAGAAAATCAAAACTCCCCTCATATACTCCTTGGAGAATTTGTTTTTTTTTTTTGTTTTTTTTTTTGAGCACCACTTTCTTTGCAAAAAACAGATGCTTGAAACATGGTTCTAAGCTACTTGAATAGTTTACATTTGTAAGAGGTTTTCATGCACATGTCATTTTGATTGTGTCTTACAAACTATTGGAACATTAGGATGTCAATTACTAATGTTTAGTAGTTGAGGTTATGATTCCCCAATTGTGCAATATAATCTGTAACTGCTTTATATTTTTATAGATCACTTAGTATTAGCTAATAGAGAGACTTATTTGAACACGTACTTTATTTGAACTATTCTGGATCAGTGAAGTGAAAAACCAAGAGTGAACAACCCAGAATGAATGGTAAGAAATACAAAAATTTTGTTTAATGCCTGTATTTTAAGTTTTCTTGAATGTTGCCGATGAAAAGGTTTCATGTACTATTTATGTTACCAACATATTTTGTGTTGTTCGGGTTCTAAGAGGAATGCTGTTCTGCAATACCAGTTAAAGAAATCTGAATATCCATCTTGTATTCCTAATCACTGAGTTCTTGCAAGGATGCTATATCCTTGGACACTACGAGACATTTAGTAGTGCACACACATATATATATATATATATATATATATATATATACCTCGATGTGGTGTAATGGTTAGAAAACTTATCTTGCTAGATCAATTACGACTGAGTATTGAGTTCGATCCTCACTGGGTGCTCCATACTTTCAGCTTTGTGCCACATCTAAGCCAAGCTTAGAAAATCACTATATATATATATATATATATATATATACACACACTTGATAGAAATATTTTGGTTTATGGCATATCAACATCATTGGGTTATTTAATGCCGACAATCTTTATCACTGGTAATATTTTATTTTTCAAAAATGTATTGCTGGTAATTTTTTTTTTTTTTAACAATGCATTTCTAGTATTAGAACCTATTTTTACACTTTCATAGTGTTTTGACCCCAGTTTGGGGGTTAACTATTTACCCATAGCTGGGACCCTAACAGGTGCTACCACCTTGGATCAGGGTGGCCCTGGGAACACCAGCAATTAAGAGGTGGTTCCATGCTCCTCAAAACCTCCTGATGAGAGGCCTTGCTGTTGGACATAGTTTATTGTCTCACCCAGAGCACAGATGTAGTTTATAGTCATACCCAGGACAGAATAGAAAGAAGCTCTTTTGTTATCTTAAGTAATTCACATCCATGCACTTACAAGATATATGTTTGCACAATCATTCCTTGGATAGGAAGTTAGGTTCAGACTTGTTTCAATGAGTTCTTCTGGGAAGGAAAAAGTCTTAGGAATGTTGCTGGTTTGTTAGAGTTACTATCATCTACACTGAGGTTTCTGTGAAGTTGTAGAATGCTTGATACTCTGATGCATGAACTCAGGAGTAAATCAAGAGCAGCAAAGTTATGGCTAGCCTACATTGAGTACATTGACATACTTCTGTTTATTCATACCAAAAGAACAGGATTGAAATTCTTGTGGTAGTGGGGCAGATGCTAAATTTATTTGCAGCAACTGAGCATTTCAATTATGCAAAGAGAGCACAATTTTACCTACAATGGATACTAGATTTGTTTGAAAAACATCCTGGGCTGCATCAACAGTTCTCAGATTACGGATTTCATTCTGTGCAACACAGTGACTGTTGATGGCTTGTCAACTGAACTTATTATTGAATAAGTGATGAGGAGATCTATCATAAATTCCTATTATAGGGTTATTGCTATAGCACACACTTGTACTTGGTATAACGTAATTAGTTAAAGTATTCTTCATATGTAATTCTTAGGCTATTGCCACAACACCTGTATTTTAGTACAAAGACTGACTCCAATACAACTACTTTCGACCTCATACCATGGAACTCTTTATAGTATTGGACGAGTTCATAGTCACTAGCAGTGTACTTTTTACTCTACATTCAGTCAACGTGATACATGCTTAGGTAATCATGTATCTTTCAATATATGATTGATGAGGTAGAAAGTTTTTCCCACAGTAGGTTGCTTTTTCTTTCTGCAGTAGACTGGTTGCCAACCAAGGCTAAAGAACTTGGTCTGTCCTGCTATTCAACCCATACTTGGGAGGAGAAGAGATGGATGCATATCTTTCCCAAGGGTATTTGTGCATAAGTGAATATAATGAACTCAACTGGGATTCGAACTCAGCTCTCCGAGTTCTCATTCCAAACAGATATACATCACTTTTCAACAGATACAGATTCAGAGGTGGGTTAACTAGGTGACAAGAGTTTACAGAATCAGGGAGATTGATGTGGGTGTAAGGCATGCACATCTGCACTAGTCTTGTCCACAGAACCAGCAAGCAGAGCCAACTAGCACATGGAAAAGAGATGTTGTTGATATTGACTGGTCTTCAGTTTGATATCTCAACACAACCCCTTTGACCCAAGCCAGTTAGAACTATGATCAGTACCATCTGGTTTGACAGCATCTGATAATGCCGGAATCAATTGTGATATCATTGAGGAGATTGGTCACTATTCAGAAAAAGCCTGATGACATGAACATTTTAGAGACCGCAATGAAAAAAAGGCCTAAAATGCATACACTTGTTGAGCTGGACAAATGTGTAAAGAATGATGGTCAAAATGTTCATGCTGACCCTAATGCTCTCTTTTCAAGGCTGGTTGTTTTGTTGGAAAGATGCCAAAAAGTGACTGTTCAAGTTTTAACTCACTCCATTCCCAAGTTCAATTTTTAAGAATTTCCAAATGAGAAAGACAAAGCTGTGCTGAAACATCATCTGACCATTTACGTACCTGAATCTCAGCCACTGACGCAATGTTCATTTTAGATGTAGGTGCTCTTCTTCACTGAGTGAAGTGGTGACAAAGTGACATGGTTGCAGAGTATCTGAGCTACGTGAAGGCTAAGGACAGGCCATCAACCATCATTTTTGATGGTTATGCAGGCCTGTCCATAACAACCATGAACATCAATGAAGAGCAGCTTGGACTTCAGCTAACATACAAATTGAAAGTTGGATTGCAAATTGCTGTCTATCAAGAACTCTTCCTCCCAAACGAGAACAAAGATCAATTTGTCAAGATGTTATGTCATTCCTTGGAAGCAGATGATCATCGAGTGGTCCAAAGTGAGGGAGACACTGACATGGACATTGTTTCTGAAACACTCAAACTTGCTACTGAAGGAAATTTAGTGACTGTAATAGTTGATGACAGACATCCTTGATCTTTTAATTTTCCTCAGACATGGCTGACACCTATGTGTTCCAAGGGGAAAAAAAAAAACATCTTGGGAAAGATGAAGAAACTGCTCAGCATCCATGAAATTGCAGAGAAGACAATCTCCTATGTTCTGCAAAACATGGGGTGGATATGACGTGGTTTCTTTCACTACTTTAACTGATGCAATTTCTTCTCCTGCTCCATTTGCATCTATGGGGTCGCTGATTTCTCTCAACATCTGTGGAGGAAAACCAGATGATGTATTGAACCCTCTCAGGTACAATTGTGTATTCAGCAACATTGACAAAGTTACAGCCTGAAAGACTGCTTCCAAATTAACAGTCAGCTTTGTTCCATAATCTCCATGTCCTTCTTCAAGTTACGGTTTGGAAGACATTAGGTCATTGCCAACTTGATTCTTGCAGA